TTAAAGTTTCTTATTACTGATTATATACAATATTTGTCAATATTTTATGCACTGATTCCTCATTTTTTTTTATTTAGTATGCTTTTTTTCGCCCTCAGTTCTAGTTCCTTGCTACGTAGCGTCGTACGATCTAATTACTGCTGTGACAGAGTAAGTAGCCATGATATTGTTTGACTGGAGTTTTTTATTTGTCCAGGGTAAAATATTTTGCAGGAAATATTTGCACAAATTAAGTTCAGTAATAGTTTCTATTGGTGTTCTTTATAAATGTATTACCCATATTTACAGTGCCAAAGTATTCACAGTGCTGTACAATGGATAATATCTGTCTAAACTAGTGAGGCACACTGGAACAAAAAAACATCTCAGATGAGCTTAGTGTGGAAGTGGGGTGTGAGTAAACAAAAAACAACTCACAAATGTAGGCTGAAACAGCAGAAATATATAACATTTAAAATCAACCAAGCAGGGAGATCACTGCTCCCTCAACGCCCGCATGCCAGCCACTCAGGAGCCCCACTGGACGCCAGGGACCGCACGCCAGCCGCCCAGCATCCCCACTGGACCCCAGGGACTGCACATTTAGCGCAGCACCCCATTGGACCAAAGGGACATAGACACTCCCAAAGGTAGGGGGGCTGGGTGGTGTAAAAAAAATTGTCTGTTAGGGAGTTTGTATGTGTTTGTCAAAGAGTATATGTGTGTTTGTCAGTGAGAGTGTATGTATGCTTGTCAGTGAGTGTGTGAGTGTGTATGTGTTTGTCAGTGAGAATGTATGTGTGCTTGTCAGTGAGAGTGTATATGTGTTTGTATGTGTGTCTGTAAAAATGTGTGTACCTGAGTGCATGTATGTGCCAGTGTGTGTATCTGTGGGTGCAAGTGTGTGTATATGTCACTGTGTGTATCTGAGTGTGTGTGTATTTGTGAGTCAAGATGTGTGTGTCTGTGTATCAGTGTGTATCTGTGTGCCACTACGTGCCAGTGTGTGTATCTGTGTGTCAGATACATATATATACACACACATACACACACACAGATACACACTGAGACAGAGATACACACACTGGCACATACAAACACAGATATACACACCTTGACACACACCAGCATAGACAAACACAGATACACACACATTGACACATACATACATACACCTGACACAGATACATACACACACAGATACATACTGTGTGTCAAGGTGTTTGTATCTGTGTGTCAGTGTATGTATCTATGTGCCAGTGTGTGTGTGTACCTGTGTGTCAGATACATATATACACACACACACACACACAGATACACATTGATACATACACTGGCACATACAAATACACACACCATGACACACAGACACACACCAGCACATACAAAAAACATGGCAATTATTTTTTATCTTCCAGTGGAGGGTGGGGGTGGGGTGGTTCCATGATGTAGAAACACTATGTCAAAGGGTTCCACATGAAAAATTAATTGAGAACCCCTGTTCTAATCAATAACTCCAATCAGTTCCTCTAATCTATATATTTTTTCACATTGTGGCCAAAAAACTATGTGCTCTGTACATGGTTTGAGTGCCCTGACACCATTTAGCAAAGGACATGCTAGTTAAATGGTTTGGATGAAAATAACAAAAAGGAAAGGGTGCGCCTTCAGAAAATAGTATTATTATAATGATGGTATATACAGCATATATGATTAAATTATAATAATAAATAAATAATAGTCCAGATGACTTAGCACTGATCCATACAAGGTTGTCTGCCAACAATGGAAAAAGTTCTTATAGAGCCAGCTTATGGAGTGAATGGTCGCAAGTGGAAGCTTGTGATCCGATGAGATATATGGATAAAAAACAGAAGAAAGAGAACTCCAATGGTACAGTATGTACGAAAATTAAGTACTTGGAAGTAATTATGAACTACTCACAATATTAAGAGCTAAATCCAGCTTTGGTGTGGATAACGTGAAGTGGAACAATCCCCACTTAAGGATATGCAGGATATGCAGAATTGTTTTTAGTCTCCAGGAGTGCAGGGCTTTTCAGGTTACTCAGTGTGGTGGAGTAGTATACCCAAAAGAAAAGGGATAATAGAATATAGTGCTCACTTTTACATCAGCAACAAATCTTGTCTCACAGCTGCTCTGCTCCACCTCTGGTAGACTGTCAGTGATAACAATCTCCCTTCCAAGAAAGCCTTGGAAAATTATGTTGCTCTCCTTCCGCAAAACCCCCGATATCAGTTTCTGCAAGAAAGGGCAGAGACTTGAAACATTGCTGCAAGTCCAGGCTGAAACAAAAGGAAAATGGAAAACCAAACAGTCTCTTCATTCCGCAGCAGTTTTTCCAACCTAAGTAGGATTTCAAGGCGACATGGCAGCCACCACTAGGACATCTCCTGGTTTCCTTATAAGCCAGTAGCTTTCAGGTTTTATATTACTTTCATAAACGGAGAAATCCCAAGCCCGCCCTTGGCCCATGACCGTTGCAGTCCACTGTGCATCTGCTCACTATGCCCAATGGACAGTCTGCTCTTACTGGGAGTATAAAGAAAAATGCAAAAATGTTACATTGCAAACGAAAATACATTTTAAAAAATATGTATAAGAAGGGATTAAGATGGTCATTATGTTTTGTAGGATTTATTGTCCATCAGGATGCCTCACTACAAATCTGACTGTATGGGGAACAGATATCTACACAGAGGTAAAAACATACTTAAAGTTTATCTCCACCAAATTGTACAAAAAGAGTTCATAATGCTGTTTTTCAGACAGGGAAATACAATCTCATGTTCTTTACCACAAGCATTCTGTCTATTAACATATGAAAGTAAAATGCATAATCAGTGACTATGTTTAATTCACTACCACCCCCTCCCCACCCCACCCTGGTTCCCCTTTAGCTAAAACAAAGTGAACCTAGAGTGAATTCTCTGTGGCAATAATCAGCACACCCACTCTTCATGGAGTAACATCCATTTCCCCAGCTATATTGAAGTGAATTTGTCAAGGCAGGTTCACTTAAAAGGACCACTTAAAAGCAACCAGACCACTTCATCTTAATGAAGTGACTTGGGTGCAGTGACCCTTTAGTCTTAAAGGACCACTATAGGCACCCAGACCACTTCAGCTTAATGAAGTTGTCTGGGTGCCAGGTCCATCGAGGGTGAACCCCTTTTTTTTTTTTTTTTATAAACATAGCAGTTTATGCTATGTTTATAATATGGTTAATCTTGCCTCTAGTGGCTGTCTCTTGACAGCCACTAGAGGCGCTTGCGTGCTTTTCACTCCTGCCGCGCATGCGCATTCAGCCGATGACATCGCTATGGAGGAGGAGAGGAGGAGAAGAGCTCCCCGCCCGGCGCTGGAGAAAGGTAAGATTTTAACCCGTTCCTCTCCCCTTAGCCCGGCGGGAGGGGGTCCCTGAGGGTGGGGGCACCCTCAGGGCACTATAGTGCCAGGAAAACGAGTATGTTTTCCAGGCACTAAAGTGGTCCTTTAACTCTGCAATCTAAAACAATGCTGTTTAATTGATACGCCAATGTTTTCATTGCAGGGCTAAACATACCCCCTTGTAATTGTCTTCATGACAGCCACCGAAGGTTCGTCAGTTGTGATAACCGATTCAGAGTTGGTTCTTACACATCACCTCCTCTGAATACTTATCATAGATAATTCAATTGGTGGAGTACAGCTCTCACTGCTCATGAGTTTTTCACCCCCAATGCTCTTCTATGAGAAACATTGGATTGTACGAAAAGACGAAAATGCAACTTATGCCAGATGATGTTGTACTGTGTGAGTCTCAGCACTGATAAAAAGTTAATTAAAACCATTTTTCCTTTTTTTTTTACTTCATTTAAGGGGGGGGCTAAACCTAAACATTGAGGAGACACTATAGCATTGGAATACATGTTTGTATTCGTAACGCTATGGTATGCCTTTCACTAACATGAATTCCTTATGCATCAACTGTATAATTTGTCATCATTACAAATATTTAATTACTTTGCTAATTGTTAATTGAATACTCACCTCACTGCAGCCATCTTAACAGTTTCCTTACTGTAACACCCACCCCTGGCCTGCCTTATTTCCATCACACCCATAAACTTTCTAGTAAAATTTAAAGGCTACTGTCTTATTAACAATAAACAAAGCAATTAAACAGGGAGTACACACTTAGCCTATTTCAATTGTATTCTGAGATTGTGATTATTTATTATCCAGTGAAATAGTCATCATGTTATTGACCATGGAAGGATGACATTCAAAACAGGCAAAAATAGCCTATTTGGGGGGGAAAAAGTTTAAACGTGGCTATTTTAGTCTAATTAGCCATTCAATTTCAACTCATTGCGATTTGTTTTTTAGTGAATAAATCCTTTTTGTCAATCTAGCTCTGTAAGTTCTATAAATTATATAGCTGGAGCACTAACCACTGAGCTATCTTATATTATTCTAAACAGTTTATGGCAGTAACATTGTAACTTGTGAAAATTGCTTTAGATGTGTTTATTCTCCATTTCCAGAATTCCTCCATATGTCTGGCAGCTATCCATGCTGGAATTATTACAAATGGGGAAGGATATGTGACCGTGGAGAAAGTGGCTGGACAATCGAACTATACAGGATCCACCAGGAATGAACTGACAAGCCTTAGTTATAATAAATCCGTTAATTCTTTTAGACTGATCACTTCCTATTCATCGAGCACCAGCACAACAACAACCACTACTAACAGCCCTTCTGCTACCACTGCCATCATCAATACCACAACCACTGTTTCTGCTGTTTCTAATATATCTCCCACATCCAATGTCATGAGCACCACAATTGATACTTCTGCCACCTCGATTCGCACTAGCACTGCAGCTTCCACCTCCAATGCTGCTAACCATGCATCTACCTTCTCTTCCACCTTTTCCATTCCTGATACCACTGCATCCCACGTATCTACTACCACCACTGCTAACACAACTTCCGCAGTCTATACAATATCCTCTATCTTTCCGTCTTCCAGTGTTTCTAGACGTACAAGTACTTCAGCAGAACCTACAACTTATAACCCAACCACCGCAATTTCATCTGTGAATGTTGGTATGTTTTGTTAAAAGTCAAATTATAATATTTTGTGCTTTATCAAGTAGAATTGACTGGATGCTAAATATTTGCATGGGTAGGCTTATTAATTAAAGTGAGTTTAAAGTGAATTATTAGTCAATTTCAAAATAAAGGTAAAAATAGCTGAACTGGAAAAATTATCTAACAGGGCTAGTCATTTCACAAACAATTCCAACCATCCAGTATGAGAAATTATAACCATAGTTTCTAGAACAGAAGAATAATTTAAATATTTTTTTTTCTAATTTGGTTGGATTTAAATGTAGAAATCTGAAAAATAACATGTAACATGTAACATGTATTTTATACATGTATTTTGTCCTTAACAGTTACTGCCCAATGTTCCACGGCTACAAACAACATACCATACACAATTGCTTAGTAAGTACATGGTTATTGCTAAAATATCATCAGTATTAATTGCAGAAAATGTAATTTTTTTCCTTTATCCAAAACCACACAGCTGATGGTTTCTATAATACAAATAACAATGTCTGTTTTCTTATCATTACTCTCCAGTGTGATATGTCCTGGAGGATGCAGTGACAGTGGGGGTATTTGGGGAACTGGAGTTTACACAAATGTAAGAATTTTTTTTTTTGAATATTCATAAAAATTTTTATTAATATAACTTTTTTATCTCTTTAATGTGTCATGTGTTTTTTATTTCTAGGATTCTCCGATTTGCCAAGCTGCTATCCATGATGGAGTAATCACCAATGATGGAGGAATGGTGACAATGGAGAAGAGGCCTGGTCAGTCCAGCTACGAGGGATCCACACAGAATGGAATTACATCCAGTTCATACGGAGCTTGGTCTGGATCGGTTATATTCCATTAACAAAATGCCTAAGTGTTGTTTGAAACTAAACATTAATTAGAAAATACATTTTGTGGTCAATCTATTTTTTGTTTTGTTTTTAGTTGTAAACATTTTATTGTTGTTTTCATGATTTCAACACTATACATAATTACAGCAATAAAAAAAAGGAAAAACAGATCATACATCAACAATATAATTTTTAATAGTAGGGGGCATGTCTAACAGCCGAGCGGGAAAGTCACATGGAGTAATCGCTCCGATATCCACCAGGCCCAAAGCTACTAATGTAACACCAAACGGCTTAGAAAAAAGACAACAGAAACGCTAAATCTCGGTGTGCCAGCTACACGAGACAGATGGCACCATCAAAGCAGCTCAAGATCACAGAGCCATTGCGACAGGGCAAGAGAGACCTTCTGAAGCAGATGCAAGGTGGCAACGAAATCTTGGCGCACTCACCTTCCTCGGAGGGCCCCACGGAGGCTGAACTTCTGCCCCTCTCCCCCGAGTATAGCCCAGTCACCAATAAAAGTCTACATATCATGCTGCAAGATTTAAAAGCATCCCTCCGGGCTGATTTCACACAAATAACTAACGACTTGCAGAAAGACATAGCTGATAGGGGGACAAACCATCCACTTGGAAACTAAAGCTGAGGAACTGTGTACAGTACATAATGAAGTGGTTGATAAGCTGCAGAAAATGGAGGAAGAACATAATGCCATGAAACACAAACTAGCCAATATGAAAGACAGGGTGAGGCGTAATAAATATATCTGCTTCAGCGGCATTGCAGATTCTGTCTCCTACGAAGCCTTACCGCAATATCTTAAGGCCTTGTGTCAAACCTTTGTACCCCAACTCAAGGAAGCCGCATGGATGTTTGATCGTATGCATTGTCTACCCAGACCAGCTCGCTTTTCAGCGGACACCGCGAAAGACGTAATTGCATGTTTTCACTACTAAAGCTCCAAGGACCAGCTACTCACCACAGCAAGGAAACTCCCCAGCCTTCCTGAATTGTACCAGGGAGTCCTGATATACGAAGACCTGTCAGCATCCACGATGTCCAGGAGTCCCCAGCCTGTTCTCAGCTCATGTAATCGAGCTGACCCATACCACCACATAATGTGAGATACAATGGCCATATATCAGGCTGACAATAAGGGAGAACCATAACCACAATGCCCAACACAGTATCTATTTGGACGATTAACTGCGCAAACATCCTTTAGTTTCATGATATTGAGGAGCTAGCACTTCTCATCTGGTTCATAAATGGTAGCGGGCATATTACCTACTGTCAACCAGGCGTAGGGCATTCTTTAGGATTTAATTATAATATTGTTATATGCATTTAATGTTTATGTTTGGCTATGTAATTATCAGAAATGGTCTACATATTGGTGGAGAATCCATCCACCTCACCCTCTGACCAAAATATGGGTAAAGACACCATTCTCTGCCACCTCGGTCTCATTCTTTGCTTGTTTAGCAAAGATTTCATGTATATATCTTATTTGCTCTATGACTCGCTATTACCTTCATCTTGCTTTCTTCTTTTCTTATGTTTTTTTACACCCTACATCTCTTTCCACCACAAAGAGAACACCCAGCATACACTTAAACAGACCAAGCTTACACATAATGGTACTTTTATTCTACTAATACATATTGCTCAGGGGTGGCCGATGGGGCAGCCAGAGCTGGCATCGATAGTCCTACCACACCCTCCATACACCTATTTCCTCCTAGCAAAGCACTGCTTGTATGCACCCAGGGAACCATATCTCCGAGCTATAACCGATCTATGACTACACCTACATTTAAACTTTACTCCTTAGACGTTAAAGGTCTAAATAGACCGCACAAATGCCACCTAGCAGTCCAAGACATGTACAAATCCAAAGCAGCAATAGTATGCCTTCAAGAAACTCACCTCTGCTCTCATAACCCTCCCACAATTATTTCCAAAAATTACCCCCAAGCATATCACGTCTACTCCCCACACAATTTAAAAGGGATCTCTATACTCTTCCACTCAGACTGGGTATTTCAGGAAAGTACACAAAATGCAGACTCGATGGGTCAACTACTGATACTAGTGGGATCATTAAACTGAATACAAATCACTATAGCATCCGTATACGCCCCTATCGAAGCTCAGATATTGTTCATTCGTAAGACACAAAAAAAATTGAAATGAAACAAGGTCACACAATAATATGCAGGGACATTAACTGCAGCTTAGAGGTGGAATTAGATATTAGACGGGAACAAACAAGCGACCCACCCCCATCTCCAATATGAACAGCAAAATATTTTCCAAATTAGTGTTTGAGCATGACTACTATGACTCGTGGCGCAATAAATATCCCTCAGAGAAGGATTAAACATATTTCTCACGAGTCCATATGACTTCTGTTGGGTGGATAAACAAACCTTACCAAACATAGATAAGGTGACCATAGGAGCACAAGCCTGGTCAGATCATGCCCCTATCATAGTCATGTTCCAAACTCTCAACCAGGCTAGAGACTTGGGGGAAGTGGAGACTCAATGAGGGGCTGTTGGACAACACCACCGCCTTATCTGCTGTCAGCAAGTCAGTCTCAGGCTATTTCAGAGAAAACATAACTGACTCAATATCTCTGCAATCCCTATGGGGAGCGCACAAAGCTGTAATGAGTTGGGTGTTAATTCAGAGTGGCTCGCGGCGAAAAAAGAAAAAACGCAGATGAAAAAGCCCACCTGACGTGAGAGCTGATAGATCTTGGCACACAAAAAAAAAAAAACATCCAGGACTTTAATAAAACTAATGGATACAATACAAAAGAGGCTCCAATCTCCTTCGATGCAAGAAACAGAAAGGCAGATGAGGGCTCTTAAGATACGGTACTAGATACAGGGCAATAAAGATGGAAAACCGCTGGCTAACTAACTCAAGGTGAAATAACTTCAATCTAAAATTCCCTTCATTCACTCATCCCAAAACACTAAACTATACAACCCCTCTGACATTATTAATGAATTAGTGAAGTACTACACTACACCCCTTGTTGACAGAACCCTCCCTAGACTCCATCTGCCACTTCCGAGATCAGGGATAAGCAACCTTCGGCACTCCAGATGTTGTGGACAACAACCCCCATAATGCTCTTACACCCAGAATGCTGGCAAAGCATCATGGGAGGTGTAGTCCAAAACATCTGGAGTCCCGAAAGTTGCCTATTCGTGTCCTAGATAATATAGACCTGCCACACATAACACAACAACAAAGTGACATGCTAAACAACCCATTCACGGAAGAGGAGGTTCGCCAAGCCATCCTCTCCCTACCTACACACAAAGCACCAGGCCCAGACAGGTTTTCTAATTATTATATCAAACTGGAACAGGTATTAACTCCCTTTCACACTAAACATTTTAATGACATTAAATCTACTGGGTCAATGCCTAGAGAAATGCTGCAGGCTCACATGGTGACATTACCTAAGCCAGGTAAACACCCTCTTGCGAACACCTCCGTCCCATCTCCCTCCTAAATGCGGACTTTAAGATCTATGCAAAACTTCTGGCATCTAGGATTAAACCTCTGACAATTCTGGCAGAGCTGGCTTTGTTTCTGGCAAGCAGGCCGGTGACAATTCCAGACATTTAATAAACTGGGCAGCCTCCAGCAGGCAGAGGGGGACAGTTCTGGCGCACGACGCAGAAAAGGCGCTTAATCACCTGAACTGGGATTACATGTAAGCCACCTTGACTAAAATGGAATTCTCCTCTTCTTTCCTAAAAGGAATCATGGCCCTCTACCAAGCTCCCTCAGACAAAGTGTTTAATTCAGGGTTTTTTTATCCAAAACCTTCAATAGTAGCAATGGCATCCGGCAGGGTTGCCCACTTTCACCACTCATCTTCATTTTATGTCTGGAACCCCTAGTGGGCCACATTAAACAGTGTGCCAAGAGCACAGGCCTCACCACCCTAGCAGGCCCACAAAAGATAGCTCTATTCGCAGACAATGTGCTGATGTTCCTCACCCAACCAGAGACATCGATCCTGGCATTAATGGTCCTACTCAGCCAATATGGGAAAATATCCTACTACAAAAATATTTAAAAAACACAGGAGCTGTCTATTGGCCTCCCCTCGACGTTGCAATGACTTCACCCCTTCGATTGAAAAAAAAATCCCTAAAATACTTGGGCATAAATTTGACAAAGACAAGCACACAACTCACTAAAGAGAACCATATACCGCTTACCCACAAACTCCAGACACTACTAGATAAATGTCAGGGCATAGAAAACTCATTGTTGGATCGTATCCATACGGTCAAAATTATGGCACTACCCCACATACTATATTTGTTCATGACTATTCATGTAATTTTTAAAAATTTTACATTTTATTCTTTATAGATGGTACAGTACGGTATGCTTAATATAAATACAATCTTTACATATGATTTTATCACTAACATTTCCTGTTCGAGCCCCCTATAATCAAAATACATTCATATTGATATCTCACACGTTTCATTATTCACATTTTATTGTATTTATAAACAAAATATATACGACAAATAATAACAAACAAATAATAAAAACAAATAATAATAAACCAATAAGAATCATGGATAAGATCTCCTAAATCAAATTTAGGCTAGATGGAAATTTCATGACACTTTTTGATAATTACAGTTATTGCATCATTTACATAATTATACAAGAATACTCTATTAATCTCA